CCCATTAAAAACTACCTAACCTAATTGCGATCTGAAAGTGCGTTCAAGTAAGTGTTTTCAAAATGTAAATATTTTGTAATTAGGTATCAAATATTGTTTGATTTTAAGCAACAAGTATAGATTATTTAACAGTTTTCGTGGTATAGCTGCTGAGCAGCGGCACACGATTTTTGCGCAGAATATACCTATGCTACGATCACCAAATACATCACCGATCAGAAAACGTAAATATAATTCAAATAAAAACAATATCACTATATAGACTGCTTACCACGGTAAATCGAATACAAATAACGACGCGGTAGTTTATCACGACTCTAGAAACGATTCCATAATGTCGGATGAACACCTACTATCAATAATTCAATATTATAAATTTGTCAGATTCTAACCAGAATTCTCCGATTTGTGTTGAAAACAAAACAAAAAATAAAAAATAATTCTTAACTTCAAATCACTATAAAGTATTAACTCATTCGAATCGGTTGTTACATCCTTACKCCTTAGACAGCTTTACWGCAGAAGYACCTTTTATAGACCAAATTAAATAACCACCACCAATCTTTGTGAAAGGTATAATACACTTTTCAGATGTGTGTTCATTTTTAATTAAGCTGATCGGTGTAGATAACTTTTTATGCGAATCTTCGTCCGATTGCATAAAGATTCAAACTGTCAATCCAGATTTATAACGATCACTGATTTATTTCTTAAAGGATTCAAATGTCCAATATCATATATTTCAATTAAAGKAAGAAAAACCTACAAGAGAATTTATCTGTCATCTACAGTGATGACATTTTGGGGTGGGGGAAGGTGGAAATTCGCCCCTGTCTGGTTTTAAAAGTAATAATGGGCTGGTGGCCGGTTGTTACTGTTTAACCATAATTATAATTATATTTTACTATCGCAAAAACATGAATATTTTTATATTATTTTCAGGAAATATTAAACTGTGTACTAAAAAATCACTGTCGAAAAGATACATTTTAAATTAATAATTGATAGTTGGAATATGTTTRTATTTAGACGCATGTTATAGTTGTATGCAGAACAATAATAATAATTAATATCATAACTCCTWTAGTTAWATTTCTAAAATCTAAAATTCATACAAATTCTAAAAACAACAACCGATTAGCACTATTATTGATCAATGTTGATTGATCTCAGGATACAGAATTACCTTTGTCATACTTCACTACTTTAGTTAACTTGAGAGTTGCGAAAGTCATGTATGTTTCACAATAAACTATATTTTATTTTGTTAATTATTGTTTATTTAGTTCAGTAACTGCTTATTCTACCTAGGTGTATAAAACTTTTTTCTTGACGCATGTTCACATAACTTTTTTTATATGAGCAAAACATATCTTTAAAAAAATAAATGAGTGGTATAGCTAAAAACAGACTTGTAAAAAAAAAAATAAAACTACTGCTAAGTCACTACTACTAAGTCACTCAAGAATCAAAAAAATGTAAGTTGATACGCACGTGTAAGCGAAACAAGCAGGTTTTCTCTTAATAATTCGGAATGTAAAAGTTTAAATGGCTTACTTGAAATTTCTTCAACAGCTTTTTGTTTGAGACCATGGCTAATTTTTTGTCGATTCAAWGTTTTTTCATCTTGTTTATTGTGTTTGTGATCTTCAAAACAATTAATAACTGTGTTGGAATCATTGATTTTCAAATAGAATTTACATTTACTTATTAAGGAGCAAGTCCATCGCTGGAATTCATTATTTAACATTTTATGGAACCGAAATTTATAATCATTAGAAATAAAGTTTGTTTTGTTACGTTCACTTTTCATTACGTCCATTACGATATTGATATAGATATGCTAAAATGCTCGCRATAACTAATGGTGCATGAATGTACGGTGAATAACTGGTATTTTTGAAAACTATTTTAATAATATACGAGGGATTCAATTCACCGCTTTTGAAGAACGGTAATATAGTTTGGAACTCAATTTACAATYATWGAAGATGAAAGATATTGAGCAGCATTTTCAATATCATTGTTTGTTTTGAGAGAGAGTTTTAGGTTTGTACTTTTTTGCATTATTTCATAGAATGTGGTGATAGAGCCTTGGTATAAAGAAATATGGGAAATATTTGGTTTGGGTGTGTCATTCACAGCTAAGAGAACAGGGTTGTGGTCAGASCTAAGTTCACATAAGTTGCTWATGGAGTATTTTATATGCGTTGGTAGTTTGGAGAGGAAGAAATCTAGTATGTCTAGATCTCTATTTCATAAAGAGGCCAGTAAGTTAGGACTTATAAAATCA